TTTTTAATGAGGCAGCAAGTAATGCATATTATAAATAACTATGTACATCCCAATATTTTTTTGTAAGTTTTTAATGAGGCACGTTATCTTACATGGACATCCAAGGGGGAGTATTATGAATAGTTTGTACATTGGATACTACTTTGGATATTACATTGGATGCTACATTGGATGCTCATGTTGTGAATAACTTAAAGATTAAATTTCCTACTTTATGTCCATCATCTTTACTTTTATGCTAGTAAAAGGCAATGTAATTGCAATGAAAAAATACACCAAAGTGAAAGAAGAAAACACTTCTCCCTTCTTTCTATCTCTTCTTATTTACATTTTACTGCATTACTTTTATTTTATTACATTTATAACATTTTCTTCCTTTTTACTTTTTTCTTGTCATTTCTAAAGAAAGACCCTTTTTTTTAAACATTAATTTATCTCTGTGTGGGTGTACATGTGTTTTGGTTGAAAGTTGAAACTGTCTCAAAGCAAGTTGGGAGCTTAGGATTAGCTTTGTTTTAGTTTGACTCTGAAACTTTGGAACACTCCAACCTTCAAAATTGTTGATTCCCATTTCAAGCTGCCAACTTTGTTTTATTTTCCCCCTCTCTCTCTCTCTAACATGTATTTGTCAGCCTTTTGGATTTGTTTGGGTTGAAAACTTTGTGCTTTGGACTGTTGAATTTTCAGATTTCAAAGCTTTGATCAGCAGGAGCAATTGAATCTTTCCAAATTGAGGGCTTTTGTGACTTTGCTGAAAAGGGCCTTTTGCGGGCAAATCTTGGTTTGAGTTAAGAGGTTTTTGTTTCCCAGATGAATGTTAGTATCAAGAAATTGTAAGTAGTGATAAGCAATTGAGTGTAAAGCAGGAAACAGATTGAATCTTTTGGTGGGTGAGAGAAATGGAGAAAAATGAGGGAGAGGATTGGAGGGAGATGGTGAGGAGAATGCTTCCACCAGGAGTTGATGGGGCTAATATGGAATACTCCATAGCCAGTGAGTATACTGGCCCTCTGTTGTCATATGAGGTTCCTAAAGTAGAGCCCCTTGATGTCAATTCTGGTGGAATTCCGACAGCATCACCTCTTTCAGAATCAAGAAGAAGATCAGTGAGTCGTGATGTTGCCCCCGTTATAGAACCTATTCCTTTGCCAGTATCTCGTATTGCTGGTGTAACAAGTCCCCCTAGTCAGAGTCCTAGATTGTCGAATAGTTCCGAGTCCCAGGTGTCTGTCTTGCAGGACCCTGATTCTTCTTCAGGTTCCCCCTCGGCATCCCCGGGTTCAGTGCTGAATCACCAGGGGAATGCTGCAAGGCATTCAGGGAGAAGAGCCCCGGTAGTCACCTTCAATACAGTCGATAGATCTGAAAGAAAAGTGGTGGAAATTGAGAACCAAGTCTTTCCAGAATATGTTGGAGTTTCAAAGAAGAAAAAGAAGTCAAGAGTCTGTTATAGGTGTGGAAAAGGGAAGTGGGAGAGTAAAGAGTCGTGCTTCGTTTGTGATGCAAAGTATTGTAGCAATTGTGTGCTCAGAGCAATGGGTTCAATGCCTGAAGGGCGGAAATGTGTAAGTTGCATTGGCCAGCCAATTGACGAGTCGAAGAGGTCCAAACTTGGTAAACATTCTAGAGTATTATCACGTTTGCTTAGTCCTTTGGAAGTCAAGCAGATAATGAAAGCAGAAAAAGAATGTGCTGCTAATCAGCTCCGACCTGAGCAGCTGATTGTCAACGGATCTCCTTTGAAGCCCGATGAGATGGCAGAACTCTTTGGCTGCCCTTTACCTCCTCACAAGTTGAAGCCTGGGAGGTATTGGTATGATAAGGAATCTGGACTATGGGGAAAGGTAAAACAAACAATCTCATTCTTTTTTATTTCTTCCTTATGTCAGAAGGAAGAGTCCTAATATAGTTTTTGACTTAATTAAACAGGAAGGAGAAAAACCAGACAGAGTTGTTAGTTCAAACCTGAATTTTACGGGAAAACTTAGTGCTCGTGCCAGCAGTGGAAATACTCAGGTTTACATTAATGGTCGAGAGATTACAAAACGTGAACTCAGAGTGCTCAAGGTTTGTTCTTTTTTTTCCCCAACTAAATAGCGCATATGTCAGAGCAAATATGTAAGGCAATAGATTTAACTCTAGATCCGTTGTTATCCACATTTCCTATCACTAGCCTGTCTTTATGTGGTCATGACAGCTTGTATGTTTGAATGCGGTGAAGGATACGTCCCATTCTTTAGTGTAATATTGAGTTTCCATAACTTTTGTGGCATTATTCCACCCAGCATTGAGGCTGGATTAATTTTTGCTTCCATATTTATGCTCCAATTATGTGTTTTGTCCCGTCCTCTTAATCTATCTAACTATTAGGGAATTTGGCTGATGGTAGCTATTAATAACGTCCGTCCATGTAAGCATTTATAGGTATTAGATTCTTTATTGTTCATTTGTTAATGAAATGAGGTTTCCTTGTTGATAGTGGTGAGTCATACTTCCCTATTCTTCTCTTAAATTTGTCGCACATGGAGATGCCTTAAATTTTACAGCTTTCGTTTATTCAATGTATATATTTTTCTCAATCTATTGTTGCTACAATCATTTCTTTCTGCTCTGCCCACTTATGTAGGAAGTAAATAATGTACGTCCAATAAATCATTTATAGCTCTGAGTGTCTTGTCTTTCAGCTTAGATGATTGTGAAAAGAAAGACTTTTGCCTTATATTAGTGGATTATAACTGTTGTCGTTTTCTAGAGCCAGTGCATTAATTAACATAGAAAGCTTCAAGCTTGTATTTTGCTTTTAACTATCCGAGCTAGTTATTTGACTGATTGTCATTCTACAAATCTGGATCTATACAGACTTCCATGTACCTTCTCACAAAAGGAAACAAAATGGATTTGCCTTTAACCTTTTTTCAAGCACTCCTATTATTCCCTTGAACTTCTTTTTTCTCTAAAATAATAGAATCTCAAATATCCCGGTGAATCATGTTGAAAGTCTGGAAATTTCCAAAATGAATCTTTCCTTGTCAATCACGGCAACACAATCGATCATCTCGGCTTTTCGTTATTGCATAGAGAACTTAGGTGGTTCAGAAATTACAGTTAGGCTTGGTTCAAAATGATCCAGCATCTAAAGAAAAGTCTGAAGTATCTGAAGAGAAGATTTAAAGTATTTATGAGTTTTGCCATTGTGGTAAACCAAAGCCTCTCTCTCTCTCTCTCTTAAATAACTTAATGATCCAGAATCTAACGAAAATATCTCCACAGTAGTTGCTAATTCACAGAACAGCTCCACGCACCACATCTGTCAAAAGCCAATGGATTAACCTAAGTACCATTATTTGCAGCCTGTTTGAAACAGCTACCTATTGAGAAGGAAAAGGTGTAACCACCTATTTCCGCTCTGTGACAGCCTCTTTTCTTCTTTCACATAGGGAAACTTGAATGAAAATAGGCATCAGCAAAAATTGATGCCCTCAATCTAGTCATAGAGGGTGTTTGACTAAGTTTATAAGCTGGTCAAACCAGCTTATAAGTCATTTTTGGCTTATCTACGCTTTTGGTAAAATTAAAAGTGCGTATAAGTCAAGTGCTTATAAGCCAAAATAAGTCATAAGTTGGTCACCCCCAACTTATTATTTTTCAGTTTATAAGCACTTTAGGTTTGACCAAAGTTTTTACTACTCTATCCCTAATATTATTTCGTAATTTTTGAAATACCCTTATAGAAATAAAACCCTAACCCTCTCTCTACCTTCATTCTTTTACCTTCATAGACTTTTCTCGAAACCAACAACTCTGCTGTCAACCTCAAGAAACAATCAAGTTTTGAAGCTCTTCCGTACGTCGAAGGCATGTGAAAGCTTTCTAGTTTAGAAACTCTTAATTCGTTCATCTTCTTTATTTTAAAAAATTTGTTATCCCCGTGTTATTAAAAGGAACCTGGTAGATGTATAAGTTTTTAGCAAAGGACTGATGTACTTGATGCATAAGTTTTTAACAAAGTGCCGAATATATTAATTATTATATTATAGCTTATGAGTGTATTTTAGCTTATCATAAATTCGTTTAAATTCATAAAAAATGATCTTATCTAATTAAATTTGTATTAAGTAAAAACAGAAATAAATTATTTTATACTTGACTCAATTTGGTATCCAAAATCTTGTAAAAGTCACATTTTTATTAATATAAATAACTTTAAGGGCATTTAAGTCACTTTAGCAAAAAAATGTGCTTATCAGTATTTTCTGCCAAATACTCAGCTGCTTATTATCAGTTTCAACACTTTTATCCAAATACGCAACTACTTAATTTTTAAATCAGCTTCGGCACTTAAAAGTACTTTTCAGCACTTAATGCTTATCAGCTACTTTATATCAGCTAAGCCAAACGGGCTCTATCCATGTTCTTAAAAGCCTAATCCATACTAACTCACCATCAATTTAGTCGCAGAGATGATATCATTTGCTTGACAACTAGTACATACGTTGTAATAGCATTCATCTTAAGGGCCTTGGATTCACCTTTCTGTAAAAAGATTATCTTCTTAGAATCATAGAATGAAACTCCTTTTATTTACAATGAGTCCTGACATTGGGTTCATTTCAGTTTGCAAATGTGCAATGCCCTCGTGACACTCACTTTTGGGTATATGATGATGGTCGTTACGAGGAAGAAGGACAAAACAATATCCGGGGCAACATCTGGGAAAAGGTAGCAACATAGGGTACAGTTTCGACGATGTTAGTCGGCAAAGTTTTTGCTCTAATATCTTTTATTTATATTGACATGCAGGCATCAACACGGTTTGTTTGCTCTCTGTTTTCATTGCCTGTACCGCATGGTCAGCCCTATGGACAGAGAGACGAGCCTAGCAATTATACTACTGTTCCAAATTACTTAGAGCAGAAAAGGGTTCAAAAGCTACTTTTGCTTGGGCTTGAAGGCTCTGGAACAAGCACTATTTTCAAACAGGTATTAGCTTTGCAGCACTTCCTTTTTCAGGAAAAGAGGTTCCATTTTTCTTGATTAATTTTTGAACAAGTTAAATCCAAGCTTCTATATATAGGTCAGATCTCTATGACATTTTTCCTTGGAGGTTTTATCTTCTCTCTGCATAATGTAACTGTTTTCAAATATCTGCAGTATAGCTTGTTCAGTTGCCTGTTGATTTATTCATTTGTTCTATGGACTTGAATTTGCTAGCATCCACTGTATTTCATTTTGCTGCCAGAAAATTTTCTAGCATCATATTGCAGCTCAGTTACCAAATCAATTTGAGGCTTGGTGATTGATTGATTGATATATTGCAGCTGAGTTATCTTCTGTGCTGTATGGCACTGCTTATGACTTAAATTAGATGACTGACTATAACAACAAGAAACTTCAGTGTCCTATCATATTCTGGTTAAAGGTCACCATTGATTAGTCATGATAAACGAGGTACAGATGGGGCCATTTGGTAGTCATAACATTATATGGGTTACATTGAAATATGAGGATTGACAAGAGAGAGATAGCCAGTGGTAAGGGCTCTCCACCTCAAGTCATAAGATTGGGGGTTTGAATCACCAATAGAGCCAAGTGGGAAAAATCATCGCTCGTTTCCTGGATAAGGGGTTTCTGGGGGAGGGGTAGGGTTTAGCAGATAAAAAAGATTTGTAATATCTGGATTTAGTAATATGTGGATTATGAGCTAGATTTCTACTTAGTCATGTGTTTGGTTGATTGTATTAGAACATGAACTATAATACAATGCTATAATTGGAGTGCTAGATCCGCATTTTCCATGATGGTTTTCTTGGGCATGAATCCTTCACAATAAGGGAAGAAACTTTGTCTTGTGGAGCACTGCACAGTGGATGATTCTGTTCTTTTATTCTGAACGCGTATTGAGTACCAGATGTTCGAATGTTGAATACATCTCTGGAACCCTCCCTAATATATGTTCAAAATCGCCAGAAATTTTTTCCTTTAATGCTTGATTAGTAAAAACACTTGTGGCAAGAAACTAAGGCTCAAAATGAATGGGTGAATTCCTTCATTTACTGTGAAAAATGTGGCTGGAAGTCCCGAGATTGGAGCCTCTTCCTCCCCTTATGGAAATAAACTATTGAGTGCATGATTTAATTTTTGTTGTTACTAGTAAAGGGGAAAAGGAAAGAAATACAAATGGTGTGGTTTAAAATTTCTTATCTGAAGAAGAATGTTAGTAAGCTCTTCTGGCCAATCACTGGATTTTGTTTACTATTATGATCTGATNACCTATGTGTGTTTGGTAGCGTTCCTGAGCTCTGTTAGTGTGCTTGCATGAGGTTTCCGGTTATAGATAGACTCTGTTTGTTCTTCGAAGACCTTAGGTTGGTATCTTGTTTTATTGCTGGACTGCGTTTATTTCAGTCTCAATTTCGATATGCATGAAAGACAAAATCTATTCACATTTCAGCTTTAACCATAGAAATGATATTTATCTCAAAAGTAATGCAGCAGCTCCTACAGAGTGCTTGTACAGCCAAATCCAAATTTAGTTCTTTATGCGTCTGAACAGGAACCATAATTGAAACTATATTGGATTGAAGTAAGAGGCTTTACTGAGAAGTATAAAAATGTGAGATCATGAAAATTTGGATGTAGTACGAAATAATTTTAATCTTTTGTTTTTATTTAAAAAGACATTATTTAAGGCTAGAGGAAAGCAGAAATGCTTACTTAATGTGGAAGGGAAGGAGTGTGTCACGACCCGGATTTCCCGCACTCGGGAGTCGTGATGGCGCCTACTAATGTGAGCTAGGCAAGCCGACTGCTTGATCAATTTACCCTTTTATTCCCATTTTAATCCTTTAGCAATTATGAGCAATAATTTAAAGACAACGGAATTTAAGACAAGCGGAAGAAAAACAATAAAACTACTAAGTATATCCAATATAACTGTTTAAACAAGACTACCCAGAACTGGAGGCACAACTTCACAGACAGTCTTAGAATGCTACAAACAAGGTCTGAATGAAATACAAAAGTCTGTCTCTGAATAAATAAAAACAAGAGAAAAGATAGGAGGAGACGCCAAGGCCCGCGGACGTCTGCAGGACTACCTCAGGTCGCCTGTGTGGACTGAAGACAGCACCCTCACTGCGGTCCAAACGCTCCGATATCAGTATCTGCACACAATGCAAAGTGTAGTATCAGCACAACCAACCCCATGTGCTGGTAAGTGCCTAGCCTAACCTCGGCGAAGTAGTGACGAGGCTAGGACCAAACTACCAAATAAACTTGTGCAGTTAAATCATATACAACGGAAATAGAAACAGATAATTATAACTAAAGTTGGGCGGGGGAAACATGCTGCGGGGGAGTAACAGGTAACAACAGAACGACAGTAGAGAAACATAAGGAATGCCATAAATCAATTACCAGCAAAATAAGGAAATAGAAGAACAGGTACACATGTAATACCGTTGCAGGCGTGCAACCCGATCCCATTTCATATGATATCGTTGCAGGCGTGCAACCCGCTCCTATTTCATATACTACCGTTGCAGGCGTGCAACCCGCTCCTATTTCATATACTACCGTTGCAGGCGTGCAACCCGCTCCCATTTCATATATTACCGTTGCAGGCGTGTAACCCGCTCCCATTTCATTTATCAGCACCAATCATAAAAGAATCCCGGCAAGGGAACAATAACAATATAACAACATCCCAACAAGGGAACAATAATATCAAAACAACCATCCCGACAAAGGAATAATAATGATAATAACATCCCGGCAAGGGAACAATAATGATAATCCTCATATGAAGTGCAATAAACCACAACAGAGTCATAACAATTACAATACAAGACTCACGGGCATGCTTGACACCGACGTATAGATACTCGTCACCATGTCTATACATCGTACTCCATAGTTAACACGTAGCAAATAAGACACGACTCCTAATCCCTCAAGCTAAGGTTAGACCAAACACTTACCTCGAACTTCCACGGCCAACTCAAGCCTCTAACACTGCTTTTCCTTTTGAATTTGGCTCCAAATCAATTGTATCTAGACATAATAGACTTAATAACATCAATAAATGCTAAACAATTCAATTCCAATGCTTAATTGTAGATTTCCTATCATTCTTCCCAAAAAGTCAAAAATCGACCCCAGGTCCGCATGGTCAGAACACGAGGTTCGGACCAAAACCCGATCACCCATTCACCCACGAGCCCGAATATGTAATTAGTTTCAAATCCGACCCCATAACGAGGTCTAAATCCCAATAATACAAAAAGTCCTAACTCTACCAAAATCCCAAATTTTCTACCCTTAAGAACATGATTTAGGCCTAGAAATCTAATGGGTGCTAATGGAAATTGAAGAAAATGAGTCTAAGATTACATACCTATGGATTTGTGGTGAAGTTCTCTTTCAGAAATCGCCCAATTTGGAGTTTGGAAGAAGAAGTTATGAAATTTTTGTTAAATCCCGTTTCTGTTACTGTTTTAAATGACTGGGCAAAAATACACTACGCGATCGCGAACAAGCCTATGCGATCGCATAGGTTTGACTCTCTTAACCTACGCGTTCGCGAGCTAGGGGTCGCGTTCGCATAGGGTTAAAACTACCCAGCCCCCAGGCCCCTTCCTACTCTATGCGTTCGCGACTGACCCGGTGCGTTCGCGTAAAGTAAATTCCCAAAGCTTCGCGTTCGCACCCAGGTCTATGCGTTCACATAGTGCAAACCTGCCCTCCTCCCAATTTGTGCTCTGCGTTCGCGAGGGTTACCACGCATCGCATAGAGTTAAAAACTTAGACACCAGCAACAACAGAAATACCAGATTTCTAAGTCCAAAAACACTCTGACGCTTATCCAAAACTCACCCGAACCCTCGGGGCTCCAAACCAAACATGCACACTACCTCAAAAACACCCTACGGACTTACTGTTACGCGGCGCCTTCCTGAGATTCCTTGGAAGGGCGACGTAAGGCTAAGCAACTGATGTCAGTGCAGTTGATGTCCGCCAACTGAGGTCCCCTCCGTACGCTAGACTAGATTGTCAGTGCCGTACGGGAAAACCAATGCCAAGAGCAATTGAGAGAACAGGAATGAGAATTGAGAATGAAAGAAAGCTTGATTGCATTAATGAAAGCTATTACAGAAAGGCAACGCGGTGTCGAGGGGGAGAGACACCAGTACA